AAAAAGGGTGAACAAATTGAAACTCACAAAATCAGGAGAGAGAAGCACAGATCTGATAAAACACCTTCAAATCCGTACTTGCGAGCCTCAATAGCCTTCAAAATAAATCTGATGAAGAGAGCATAGCGGGTGAGAATTCAAGCGAGAAATTGAACGCACATTCGAAAGAGAGACAGAGTTCAAATTCAAATTAGGGTGAGGATGAGGGTGAATCAGTGCTCCGGTTGCCCGCAACGGCAACGAGGAGCGACTGGTGGAGCGGCGGTGAGAAAGGGGGAGAGGAGCACCTATGGCAAATAAGTTTAGATCTATTCTTTTTATTGTGCTCACATGTAGTTTGTTTTTGTTTCATTTAATTCGTCTTCTCCCAGGAGATTGACATTGAGAATGGTGTAATCGGTCCGACCCCGACAACATTGATCAAATGCTTCGAATGTTGATCGTCAGAAGTGGCGGTTCGCTACGAAAGCTCTGCGTTTCGGAGTTGCAAAGTGACCTCATTTTCTCCATCATTGCAGACCAGTAAGTAGCTTTTGAAGTATCCATGTGGAAAAACCATTTCATTTCATAGTTGGGCACAATTCTTAGATCAATTCATGCTTGGCCATTAATTGGGGCCGTTTTGGATTGCTTGCACACTTACACTAAATCAGACAGGAATGAGATGAGCATATCAGTCTAGTTTGATGCTCAATTTAACTACATGAAACCTTTAGTCCAACTGTTGAAGCACTGCACAACAGCTTTGCATTTTTTGTATGCAACGAACGACCGGTGGGACAACCGGCCGGACGTCCGGCATATCCGGCCAGCTGTCCTATGGGACCCACCCCCAACGTAAACACACAGTAAAATGGTGAAATTCGATCCAAGTCTTTATTTTGGTGAAAGTTTTGGCATATTTTCAATTTGATATTATTTTGATGAAACCATTAGAGATCAAAAAGGTGCCTTTTTTCACCAAATTCAAATTTGGTGATGAATCTGATGCAACATTGGAAATGGTCTTAGGCACTCAAACATATTTATATTCAAACTGACATTACATAGTATATTAATTTATTCGTTTGGTAGTTTAAGAGACTTGAGTTTTTATGCACGTACATGTTTGAATAATCAGGTGCTGCATTTTTATTTTTTTTTAAGCATTGGTAAATTTTTTCAAAATTTTAACCAATCACCCAAGAAATAGTATTTTTGTAGTATACAGAATTATAAGTTTTATGTAAAACAAATGAAATGAGATCATTTTAAAAAATAATAATTAAAAGAATATTTTTCTTTTTTTGATAAAAGGTAAGCAACTTGAACAACAACAATGATAATACAAGGGGAAAAAAATATTACATTTACATGTTTTTCACATTTTTCCTTTTAATCTCGGTCCAAATCTATTATCTAAATTAAGGTTGTCAAATAAATAAAAGTTACTCGAGTATGACTCATATTTAATTCGTTAAAATTTGTTTGATGTCATGTAAACAAGTTAAATTTGAATACAATTTTTATATGTATTGTAAAAAATCCAAGTTACTCTAACTCGACTCGTTAAAAGCATGCTCAAAATCAACTCGTTATGTAAACAAATTAAGTTTGAGGCATCGTTTGGCATGTAACAGTTTAGCTTAAAAGCCAAAAGTTAATAAAAAAATCAAAAAATCTATAACCTATACCAAAAGATCAAAGGTTCTCTTCTCTTTCTACTTTTTACTCATATTTTCGTAAAAAACTAAAAAGTTATTTGAAACAAACTAATTTTTTTTATCTTATATTTTAGCCAAAAAATTATTAAAATAATTTATTCCCAAATGAGGCCTGAATATATCTTTAAACTCGTTAAATTATCAAATCAACTTGAATAGGCTCATTTTCAACCATAATCCAAATATAGCTTTAAGGGAACCATCTTATTAATTAAGGTTCTATTTGTTTCTATACTTTGCTAAAAATTATTTTATATATTTTTCATTATTTGATTGACTGAAAAATAAATGCTCCCTCCGTCTCAAAATATCAGTCCCTTATTTTATTTTTCATTGTCCCAAAATATTAGTCCCTTTTCAAAAATTAAATACAAAAATAATATAAATTTCTTATTTTGTCATTCTTTTAAATTCATTAACAACATAAAAAGTACAATTATGATATTGATATTTCTAAAAAAAAATACTATCAAAAGGTAATTTTGAAACATCAATTTTTTTAAAATACAATAATTATACTATTAAAAAAATTAAATTTACCAAAAAAGAATTATTATTTTAAAACAGAAAGAGTAATATATTTTTTTAAGAATTTTTTTTTGTCATAGTCCTTGTCATTAAAAATTTCGCAAATCAAAGTTTGTTTCAAAAGTTTAAAAAGTGTCTTTTGATTAACTTCTTTCTAGCTAATACATATCAATTTGAGCGGACTTAACTCGAACAATTCAAATTTAATCTAATTTTTTTTAGGGCTTGAACAATATATTTTTGAATTCGGTACCGGCTTGGACAAATATTCAAAAGTCTGAATTAAATTTGGACGGGCTTGGGTAAAGATATTCAACAACTCGAACAACTCGAAACCCGAATTATACATATATAGATATATAAAAATATTATATACATATATATAAATTATTTGTCATTACATGATATTAAAATAATTTAGATTATTAAATTATATTGAATATATATTATATATACAAATAACATAAAATCTTACTTTTTTTTTTATTTTCACTCATAAATTGTAAAGACTACTATAGCGGCATCTTTCTTATATTATATAAATTATTTGTTTTGATGATATTAATGATTTTCTATAATAAAAAAATGTAAATAGAGTCAAAGTTTAATAATTTAATAATGTAGCTGGAAAAAAAAATAAAAAACAAAAAGAAATTGAAATTGATTTACAATTTGGGCAACTCGGGTTTAATTCGGATCGGGCTTGAGCAGGCAACGTCGGGTTACAATTCGGGCCTGGGCAGATCTCAGGACAACTTGGACTGGACTTGGACAACCTGCCAATCCAACCGAACCCGTCTGAATTGCACCCCTAATACATATCAATCAAACACTGAAAAATAAAAATAAAATATTTGTTTATAAAATTAAGGCCTTGTTTGGCATGATCTAAAAAAGTCAAAAAGTCACTATCTTATTTAAATCATATCACCTCTTTAACACATCACTTCAAATCCAACCCATACCCAACCCATATTTCATAAGGATATGACTTCTGTCCGGTCCGGGATCGGACTGGACCGTGCTATTGGGTCCGTGAGGCCCACCATGGGTCCCGTTTTGATAATCTGAACCGTTCAATATGTAGAAATCGTCGAGTACTATATGTCTATAAAAAATCACGTTGATCAGATATCGATAGCTATGTGATCAAAACAGTTTTTTGTCAACCGTTGATTTGTTCACCGTCCAATTTTTTTAATACGAAACTGATTTGATCATATAGCTATCGATATCCGATCAACGTGATTTTTTACAGGCATATAGTACTCGACGAGTTCTACACATTGACGGTTCAGATTATCAAAACGGGACCCGTGGTAGGCCCCCACAGGCCTAACAACAAATAAAAAAGTGCACTTATTTAGATCATCCTAAATCACCCCTAATTAACTTAAAAAATATTTTTGAGTGTAAAATATTCTACGCCTAAATAAACCGAGGCTAAGTTAAAAACATTTTTTTTTTAAAAAAAAAAAACACCTAAACTCTTTAATTTAATTTGTTTTCTTTCAGGTGTTGCTTCCAAAAACGATTGGCTGGCTGGGAAAGGGTAAGAGCATCTCCAATGGTTGTTGTTTGCTATTACTATAATTTGGTAATGAATAGTATTATTTTACCAAATTATAGCAATGGTGCTCTAATGGTCACTTGTTATTTTGGCAATTCTCAACCAACTTTCCCTTCAAATTTGTAGGTATTGTTTGGATATAGGCTTTTTTGTGATTTTATGTTTGTTTATTTTTTGTCTTTTATGACCTTTTTTTAATTATTTGTAAAAAATATATATATGTTTATATTATTCTCGATTAGGCAAATATAAAAAATGAAAAAAAATTAGAAATATTAGAAAAAACCTGTTCATATTTGCTGATGTGGCATGTTTGGCAGTTGTTATTTTACTTGCCAAATTTGAGAATAAAAATAGCATATGCCATCTTTGGCAAGTAAAATAGCGTGTCATTAGAGACTCACTTTGTATTACTGTTGCTAAATTATAGTTTTGACAAGTATTTTGAGAGTTCCATTGGAAATGCTCTAAGTCGAAGGGTAAAAACAAAAAAGAAAAGAAAGGAAAAAAAAGGAAAAATCTGACAGTGACAGTGACGGTGGCAGCTGGCTAAGTCGCAGCAACACCAAGTGTTACGTGTACTCTCACAGACATAGACTCAGACTGAGACGCAGACACAGCCACCCCAAAACGACCCATCCCTCGTCGGCTTTTCAAATTCCGGCCAGTCGTCAGCCGGAAGATTTGCCTATTTTAGGGATCAATGCAATATCAAAATGAGATACATCCATATATATACCCATCAACATTCATTCCATTCCATTTCCATGTAATTATATATCAGCAATGATTAAGAGTTCTAAATAAGGAGCTCTAAATTCACCACTAGTGAGGTGGAAATTGAAAAAAAAAAAAAAAAAAGGCACAACATACACTGTGGCAGTGGATAGGATCCACTGCCACATCATTAATGGTAGCTCTAATTAGAGCTCCCAAGCATTTTTTATTATATATATCTACAACAATGATTCATTCCTTTAATTTGAGAGTTTTAATTGAGCACTAATGAGGTAGAAATTTAAAAAAAATAATAAAAAAAAAACTAAGATCAAAACATTACATCAATGAGTGAGATCCATCCCTAGAGCCCCTTTAGAGCTCCCAAACATTTTTAATATATCTATTCAGTGAGAGAGAGAGAGAGAGAGAGAGAGCGGGGTCTGAAGAAAATTTAATGATGATCATTAAAACATGTAAACCTTAACACTTTGAATAAGTTAAACCCGTGATGTAATGTAAAGTGAAGAAAGTTAGCTCAAACTTCAACTTGCTAAGTTTCTTTCTATATATCATCATCATTAAATATATTCGAAAAAAAGAAACTAATCAAAACCATTCTCTCCATTTCTAGCTACTTCCATAGGAGCATAGTTAAGTTAATTAGGTCAGTCAGTGCCTCAAAACCCCACTAAACCAAACCCAAACCCAACCTCAGAAAAGTAATCAAACACAAACATATAACCTAGAGAGAGAGAGAGAGATTATAATCGGAGGGAGAGGTCTAGATTTACAGGGTCAGTAGAGTCGTCAGTGGCAGGAGGAGAGAGAGACTGAGGAGTGGAAGCACTGCCTCGAACACAAAGAGGTGCTGAGGAGGTGGAGGTGGAGCCATAGAAGGGTTGTTGGATGGTGGTGGTGGGTTTGACCAGCAGCCAATAAGGCTGGTTCTGGTTCTGGTTCTGGTTCTGATTCTGATTCTGGAGGAGTTGATTCGTAGGTGGTTCGTTTCGTCGAGAAGCAGCAGCAGCAGCTCTTTCACGCTTGTGAGCGTTTTGGTGGCCGCCAAGTGCTTGAGAAGTCTGGAAGTTGCGTGGACAGTAGAGGCACGAGAACATTCTCCTCGACGGACTTGCTTTTCCCCTGTTGCTTTCTTCTTTCATGAACTCGTATACCCCACCAGGGTCCGCCATTGTTGACCCAGCCACCGAACGAGACACCAAAATAATTAGAATTACAATTCGACAGGGGGGACTGTGTTTTGAACGCGGATGGATATGGACATGGATGGGTGGGGTGGGGGGTGGTGTTTAGGCTTTTTGTTTGTTTGTTTGCTTGCATTGCATTTGATGTGCAAAAGTGTGCAAATATGATTGGCTGTACCAGAAAGGACTACACTGCCCTTTTACTGCCTACAAATTTATTTAACTTTCCCATAAATAATATTCTTTCGTATTTGGATTATGGTAAGGCTTCCCTCCAGTTTTGGATAGATTGGAAGGTGTTATTAGGTTTATGGGAGTTTATGAGTCTCTTTTTAATAATTTGAATCATATATATGTAAAATTTATCGAGTATTATATATTTATAAAAAAATTACGTAGATCAGATATTAATAGCTATATTAACAGATTAGTTTTCTGTCAATCATTTATTTTTTTATTATACAGAATTGATTTGATCACATAGCAATCGATATTCAATCAACTTAATTTTTTATAGACATATAGTACTCGATGAGTTGTACACATTAAACGGTTCAAATTATTGAAATGAGACCCGTGATAGACTCCCACAGATCCAACAACACTTTCCAATCCGATCTGAGATCGGAACGAAGCCCATGCCTTTGGATTAATGAGAGCATTCTTTCTCCTTTTAAATTTCTATATATTCAAATTAGTGAACTAAACATAATCTAAGGCTTCCGTTGACAATAAGCTATTTTAATAATTTTTTGACTTTTTAGCTAAAATATGAGGTAAAAAAATTAGTATGTTTAAAATGATTTTTTGATTTTTTACGAAAAGATATGCAAAAATATATATAAAAAATATAATCTTTGACTTTTTTTTGTATAGATTATAACTTTTTTAGTTTTTTTAGTAATTTTTTAACTTTTAAACTAAAACAAGCACATGCCAAGTGAGACATAAATATCAAGTTCATGGATTAGATGCAAATGTTTCATTAATTTTTTTTCTAGATAATTTGGTATCCAGTTAAGCAAATTAACTAATTCAGGGATTAATTTCACCATTTTAAAATCTGAACAAAGTAACTGATTTCAAGAAATTAACTGTGCTGAGGAGATTTCAAACCTAAATCATAAGGGGAGCACACGGCCAAACCCAGACTATCGAGGCAATCTCTTGGGATTAATACATTTTTAAGCCTACTCATTACATATACAACAATGCTTGATAATCTTAATTTTCATAGCCCGTATAGTTCGAATATCTCAAAATGACGTCGTTTTGATACATTCGAGTCATTCGGACCACACAAATTCGAACTACTGAGTATTTTTCTTACATATACAATAGATTTTTTTTTTTTTCAAAGGTCTTATAAACTTTTATTTTGTTTACGGCTTTCTTTAATTCATATGTATAGCCCCAAACCCAACAAATAAAATTTTAAAAAATAAAATTCTCTACTTGTATGAATTTTTAAGACTTGGCGTAGAGGGAAAAAACTGACCTAGTTTACTCATTCTTGTGAAAAGAAAATCGATTATAAATGTTAGGGTTATACTACAATATATTTATTTATAGTGCATACCATATACAAACTATGATTCAAATTAGTGTTAATTACAAGTCATAATGGTGTTTGATTACAAAGTATTATGGTGATAGGGTCAATAAATTGTCAAATTAAAATTAACGGCACATTACAGTACTTTTAAAACAAAAATGATATTTAGTCTTCGTTTGGGAAGAGTTAAAATAATCTGACTTTTTTACTATTTTAGCATGATTTTTTTAGTCTGGTTTGGTTTTTGTTTTTGACTTTTTGACTTTTGTAAGAGAAAAAGTGTAATGATTATAGTTTGGATGTGACATTTTATCTTATTTTCTTATGTAACTAATTTTGTCTTTTGTGTTTTTTTAGCTAAAAATCTATTGCCAAGCATAACTTTAATTATGTTTGTACATGGAGCTCAAATTTGTTAAATTTGAAAATCTTAACTTCGTAAAGTTGGCATATTATGAGATTAATTTATATTTATATCAATGATTTGAACCATTAATCTCATATAACAAGTTAAAAAGAATTTATGTATGTAAAAAATTAACTTGATTAGATGAAAGATTTTATATGATAAATTTAAAAAAAAAATATGTATGTAAAAAATTAAATTGATTGAATATAAATAATTATATGATCAAATCACCTATATATTATAACACATGGACAGTCTATTCTTAAAAATATATAAGTCGTATAATTAAAAATGATCTAATAATATGACACTCAATGTTAGATAAGTTTAAATTTTTACATGTCTAATTTTATTATTTAATTATGTAAAATGGGCGATTTAAATTATCAAAATAAATCTAAATTAATTTAAGAATGAGTGAATTTTATTGTAAAATTGAGATTAACTCTAGTAAATCCAAACTAAATGTATGTGATGTGATGGTTACAACGCACTATATGAGGTCGAGTGCATTGCTGAGAACACGCATACGGTATAGAAGTTTTTTTTTTGTTTTTTTTATATAGAGTATCTTGAATTAGTTTACACGCATCAGATTCAATTCTTATAATTCAAGTAAATTTTTCGAAAGAGAACTTACGTCTTGCAATCCGTGACGTCAAATTATACATTTGTTAGTTAGGATAGAACAACTCCAAAACATGTGTTTGTTAATTAGGAGAATCGAACTTCAAATTTTTTTAAAAAAAAAAAGAACAAACCTCCAGATTTCCATCATTACCCACTAAGAAGTTGATACGCAGGAAAGAAATTTCAAAAAAAAAAAAAAAAAAAAGTCCTGATCATAAATCGAAATATTGCCTGCCGATGGAAAATAAAAAGCAGTAGATAATTATCCTTGCTTTTTTCTTTTTTTTCTTTTTATTTTTCACTATACCAAGTGAAAGAAGAGAAAAAAGAGAAGGGGGCAGAAGGGTAAAAACGAAAGAGTATTGTTAGGTAGGTTAGGATAGAGGGTAGGATTCAGAAAGAGAAGAAAAGAGGACGTGATCTCTGGAAAGGACATTGGACAGTGGAAAGAAGAGAGAGAATGTGTGCTACCATTTACTCTTTTTACGGCTGCCACTGCGTCTTAACAGGCAATTTCTTTGTATTTTTTTGTCCTCTTCCCCCCTCCCCTCTCCCTCTCTCCATATATCGGCAGAAGTTGAACTCACTAGGAGAGAGAGGACGTGCGCCAGAAGATATAAATGTGAAGTGAATCACACTTAAATTAAATATTTGTTTTACATGTTTCTTTTTAGAATGTCTTTAGGTATATTGGGAGGATAATTTATATTTATAAATTGAGTTGAGTTGGGTAATAAGTTTTTATGGGTCATAATATGAAGGGTAAAGTAAAAAAGTCTTGAAAATTAGTTCGGTCCCAAAATCTTAAAGTTAGTCCGGTCCCAGACGGCCCTAAAATTAGTCCGGTCCTTGAGAGCCTATTGCCATCTTGGTCCAGGAGAGTACTACGGGTAGCTCGGTCGCCAGGTTGCCGCACTCAGAGTTAGTACGGTCACGGTATAGCGCAGCTAGCTCTGCCGGACCTACCTAATGGTTAGCACTGTCTAAGCAATACTATGGTCAGCACTGGGAAAACCGTGGTAGGAGCAGTGAATGGAAGAACTGAGGTAGAGTTATCTCGGTCTAGTCTGCGGCTTACCATAGCCACGCTTACCTCGGTCATGTTGGAGTCCGGCCATGGTAAGACCATCTCACTTGGTTTAAGCAGTGAGGGGGGTGTTGAAGGATAAGCATTATCTTTCAAGAGAGTGAATCCTAGAAGGACTCTACATGGAGGAGTAAAAGTCCTACTAGGATTGTGCCACACGGAACCTATAAAAGCTCACAAACATCACCTATGGAGAGGTAACACAACTTTGATTCTCGAATACACAAAGCTTTTGTCTATTTGTCTGTTTTACTGACTTAGGCATCGGAGAGGTATCTGGCACACACCCGCCGGCTAGCTCACGTTTGTGTTTTCAGGGAATAAAGTGACGACGTACGGAGGAGCGCAATCTTGATCAACAGGATTATACGGGAAGAATATTTCATGCCCGTACAATTGGCGCCGTCTGTGGAAAGATCAGACTAGAACAATACCTCTTGGTCAAGCTTTTCCTCTTTAGAAGCAATGGTGCACAACGAAGATTTGCCGCAGTCCGCCATCGACGGATAAACACCAGAGGGGGGTGCAAGGCGTGAAGGCCTACCTTCTATCCCTCCCATGGCGAACTTGGAGCCACAGCAACAGAATCCCAGGAGGGATGCAAGAGGGAGGAGGCGGACTAACAGCCCCCGTCACTCTCGTTCACAAAGTCCTGACAGACAAAGGCGGAGGATTGATCCTCAAGTTCTGGAGGACCGCATGAAGGAGCAAAATGAATTAATAAGGAAGATGGCGGCAGACATGGAGGCCATGAAGCGCCAGATCAAGGGAAAAGGGGTGGCGACAGGAGAGGGGCGCAAAGGCAATGCGCCTCCTCGCCACTCAGAAGATCGTAGTAGGCATACTACGACATCGCAAGCAGAGAGTAGAAGCCTCAGGACGAGCGACACTCAATCAAGGACTTCCAGAACTCGTTACTCCATGTTTGAGAGAACGAGATCACTAAGGTCTTACACAGAGGGAAGTACCTATCGACCCTCACACTCGCACCATACATCATCCAGGCAAACGGAGTTGCCTAGATCGTCCGACTTACGGACTGTGCTTGAAGAAAGGGCGCGACAGAAGGAGGATGCTAGGGCACGCGACCCGCACAGAGTTTCAGCCCTTCGGCGGTTGGCTCCTCGGACGCATGGAAGCATCGAGGTTGGAATGCCAGTACCACACCTTGCCTACGAACCAACAGATAAAGCATTGGTAAGACTACATAGCTCGCCGTTCGTTCCGGCGATTGAGAACGCATCATTACCCTCAGGCTTCATCCAGCTTAAATTTACTACGTACGAAGGGAAGACAGACCCTTACATGCACCTAAGCCACTTCCGCCAGGTTATGGCGGTATATCGACGAAACGAGACTTTGATGTGCATCCTCTTCTCATCAAGCCTTGGTGACCTAGGCTTGACTTGGTTCGAAAAACTTCCAGAAGGCAGCATAGCCTCCTGGGTGCAATTGGCGGAGGCGTTCGTAACAAGGTTCAGAACGAACACCAAAACCCCGGTAGAAATTGATCAACTGCTCTCCATCGACATGGGCGAAAAAGAATCATTAAAATCCTACAATAGCTGCTACTGGGAGACCTTCAACCAGATTGGGGACTGCCCCACCAATCTCGCCATCGCACAG